AGATAGATAGATAGATAGATAGATAGATAGATAGATAGATAGATAGACAGACAGACAGATAGACAGACAGACAGACAGGATATGATATAGAGATAGATGATAGATAATATAGATAATGATATGATATAGATAGATGATAGATATAGATATGATATTAGAGATAGATAGATGATAGATGATATAGATATAGATGATAGATATAGATATATGTTATAGAGATAGATGATAGATGATAGATATATAGATAGATAGATGATAGATGGATAGATAGATATAGATATGAAATGTTATAGAGATAGATGATAGATGATAGACAGATAGATAGATATAGATATGGTATTAGAGATAGATGATATAGATATGTTATAGATGATAGATGATAGATATAGATATTAGATATGATAGATGATAGATATAGATATTAGATATGATAGATATAGATATATGTTATAGATGATAGATAATAGACAGATAATATAGAGAGATATAGATATAGATATGATATGATATAGATAGATGATAGATAGTTAAGATAGACAGATCAATCCCAGATATAGAATAGAATAGAATAGAATAGAATAGAATAGAATAGAATAGAACAGAACAGAACAGAACAGAATAACAGAGTTGGAAGGGACCTTGGAGGTCTTCTAGTCCAACCCCCTACTTAGGCAGGAAACCCTACACCACTTCAGACAAATGGTTATCCAACATCTTCTTAAAAACTTCTAGTGTTGGAGCATTCACAACTTCTGGAGGAAAGTTGTTCCACTGGTTAATTTTTCCAACTGTCAAGAAATTTCTCCTTAGTTCTAAGTTGCTTCTCTCCTTGATGAGTTTCCATCAGTTGTTTCTTGTCCTTCCCTCAGGTACTTTGGAGAATAGCTTGACTCCCTCTTCTTTGGGGCAGCCCCTGAGATATCGGAACACTGCTATCATGTCACCCCTAGTCCTTCTTTTCATTAGACTAGACACACCCAATTCCAGCAACTGTTCTTCATGTTTTACCCTCCAGTCCCCTCATCATCTTCGTTGCTCTTCTCTGCACACTTTCTAGTGTCTCAACATCTTTTTTACATCATGGCGACCAAAACTAGATGCCATATTCCAAGTATTCCAGAGATAAATTAAGGTGCTAGTTGTGCTCTTTCAAACCCTTGATGGCTTGGAACCAGGGTATTTGAAGAAATGCCTTGCTTAACAACATTAGTTTTGTACGGGACTACCTGTGCAATAACTCGAAATAAAGGGCTATTTTACGGAATTTCATTGCTAACGAGCAATATATTTGGGGGAAGAAAATCTCAAGATCTTTTTGACCTTTAAGAGCTTCTAGAACTTGCGACAGTTTTGGCTGGAGCTTACTGACCTGACATGTCCTGCTATCATTTTCTGCCCCCAAATTTGCTATCCTGAATCCGATCTCACGGCCTTTCCCTGTTTGGTCGGAGTCGATTCCGGAGGCTCTTTCGATTCCGGTGTGACAGGAAGGGAAGCTGACTGTTCTTTAGATCCTTCTTTCAGTGGGGTCGAAGGCACGTCACCGATGGACACCAAGTGTTTTCGGTCCTTCGCAGGAGTCTTAGCTTCCACTTTGGTAACCCGAAATCTGGAACAAGGCAATTCGTTAAAAGGAACGTTGAGACCATCTAGCAGGGTTGATGTTATGGAAAATGGCAACCGATACAAAAGCAGAAAGATAACTTGGAAAAGATCATCCAATCATTCCTGCCCCTTGCCTATTTTGGCTTGTTCTCTTTTCATCCATCCATCCATCCATCCATCCATCCATCCATCATTACCTTTAGAATTTAGAATAACAGAGTTGGAAAGGACTTCTAGTCCAAGCCCCTTCTCAGGCAGAAAGCCCTATACCTGTGATGGAAAAGCCCTATACCCGTGATGAAAAAGTGGCACGCGGAGCCATATTGGTGGGCCTGCGAGCTCAGCTCCGGCGTGCATGCGCACGCTGGCCAGCTGATTTTCAGGCCTTCTGGACCCACCGGAAGTCAGGCTGTTTCTGGCCTCCAGAGGTCCTCTGGGGTGGGGGGAAGGCCGTTTTTGCCCTGCCCAGACTCCTAGAAAGGCTCTGAAACCTGGGGAGAGCAAAAAACAGGCCTTCTTGTCCTACCGTAAATCAGCAAATGGGACATTTCCGGCCTCCGGGGGGGATGGGGAAGGCTGTTTTCATCCTCCCCAGGCTCTTAGAAAGCCTCTGGAGCCTGGGGAGTGCAAAAAACAGGCCTACTAGGCCCACAATGCCATCAAGTGCCAAAAGCGGGGGGTGCCCGGGGGTCGCACACGCATGCACAGGGGGGTGGGGCACATAGAATTATGGGTGTGGGCATGCGCACGCACGACCTCCCCGCGCAACCCCCGCTTTTGGCATGCAATGGCAAAAAGGTTAGCCATCACTGCCCTATTGTCAACACTCCAAACTACATTCGTTCCAGTGCTGACATGAGGAGGAGAAGAGGGGGCAGCTGGCAAGAGGACGCTTGACTTTTCACCTACTTATTTTCCCTGAAGATAATATCCCCTAGGAGATGGGATGGGAGGGGAGACATTCCTGGGAGCTGAAGTAGTAGATATGGGGAGAGTGATTTGGAAGATGACCAATGAGACGCAGAGAATTGGGGAACGGAAAGGGAAGGTTTGGGGTCAGGAAGTCAGTGTTGGCTACGACGTAGTCGGGGACAGATTGCCGTGCTTAATAAATGAAAGATTTCATCAAAGACTATTTGTTTGGAAATGCAATTTATTTGAGATGACACCGAAACCTGACACCTATATTATTTCAGACAAATGGTTGTCCAACATCTTCTTAAAAACTTCCAGTGTTGGAGCACCCATAACTTCTGGAGGCAAGTTGTTCCACTGATTAATTGTTCTAACTGTCAGGAAATTTCTCCTTAGTTCTAAGTTGCTTAAGAAATAATTCAAGGCAGTGAACATACTCAATATACCTTCCGCCTCCTATTTTCTCCACAACAAATGAAATAAGTTGGGCTGAGAAAGAGTGACTGACTACCCAAGGTCACCTAGCCACCTTTCGTGGTTAAACTGGGACTAGAACTCAGAGTCTCCTGGTGATTGGCCCTAAGTCACCTAGTTGACTTTCATGCCTAAGGCGGAACTAGAACTCACAGTCTCCTGGTGATTGGCCTTAAGTCGCCCAGCTGGCTTTCATGCCTAAAGCGGAACTAGAACTCACAATCTTCTGGTGATTGGCCCAAAGTCACCCAGCTGGCTTTCATGCCTAAGGCGGAACTAGAACTCCCAATCTTCTGGTGATTGGCCCAAAGTCACCCAGCTGGCTTTCATGCCTAAGGCGGAACTAGAACTCCCAATCTTCTGGTGATTGGCCCAAAGTCACCCAGCTGGCTTTCATGCCTAAAGCGGAACTAGAACTCACAATCTTCTGGCGATTGGCCCAAAGTCACCCAGCTGGCTTTCATGCCTAAAGTGGAACTAGAACTCACAGTCTCCTGGTGATTGGCCTGAAAGGTGGTTGGATGACTTTGGATGTCCCAGTTTCCAGCCTGGTGCCTTAACCACTAGACCAAAGTAAGTTGATGCATCCGTGTTTTACCTGAGTTGATCCGGTCTGAGTCTCGTACTGTCTCCCCTCTCCTCTATTCCCGGCTTGCAAACGGAAGCCAACTGGGCCCCTTCTTCTCATGAAAAAAAGCCAACTTACCTTCCCACGGAGAGTACGGTGACCTGTCCATGTCGGGGTCTTTTGCCTTCTTTGCCCCTTTTATTTGGACTGAAGAGATTCCACCGTTTATGGCTGCAACGAGAACAAGCGCCTGTCGAGGCCACCCCGCCAATGGTGTGCAAGTGGTGTCCTCGGCAAGTGTGTTTTGACAAAGGACCTCCAGGAGATGATGGAGAACCTGGACTCGTTGGGCTGCCTGGCGTGGTTGGGCTGATTTTTGGAGCAGAAAAAAAAATTGCCATTTAGGGCAGGCAGTTGATGAATTAATTCCAACTATCTTTTTTTTTCTCCTGAGCTCACACTATGGATGTTACATGATTTCCGAGCACACTTTTTTTCCCCTAAATGACCTTGTTCCACAAAGTTTATGTTAATCTGGAATGCTTCGATCCCAAAGTGAAACTAACAGTCAATGTGCAAGCATTACTTTTGAGAAGAAATTGCTGTGAATTTTCTGATTCTACTCTTCTCCTCCTCCATACCCATCCTTATCTACCTTCGTATTTCTTCCTTCATCCTCCTCATCTCTTTCCTTCTAATTCTTCCTTCATCTTCCTTATCTATCTTCTAGTTCTTCTTTCCTCATCCTTATCTATCTTCTAGTTCTCCTCCTTCGTCCTCCTTATCCATCCTCTTCTAGTTGTCTTTCTTTGTCCTCCTTATCTATCTTCTTCTAGTTCTCTTCCTTCATCCTTATCTTTCTTTCGTCCTCCTTATCTATCTTCTTCTAGTTCTCTTCCTTCGTCCTTATGTTTCTTTCGTCCTCATCTATCTTCTTCTAGTTCTTCCTTCCTCATCCTTATCTATCTTCTAGTTCTCCTCCTTCATCCTCCTTATCCATCCTCTTCTAGCTCTCTTCCTTTGTCCTCCTTATCTATCTTCTTTTAATTCTCTTCTTTCCTCATCTTTATCTATCTTCTAGTTCTCTTCCTTCGTCCTTATGTTTCTTTCGTCCTCCTTATCTATCTTCTTTAGTTCTTCCTTCCTCATCCTTATCTATCTTCTAGTTCTCCTCCTTCGTCCTCCTTATCTATCTTCTTTTAATTCTCTTTTCCTCATCTTTATCTATCTTCTTCTAGTTCTCTTCCTTCGTCCCTCCTTATCTATCTCCTTCTAGTTCTCTTCCTTCCTCCTTATCTATCTTCTTCTAGTTCTTCCTTCGTCCTCCTTAACTATCTTCTAGTTCTTCCTTCCTCATCCTTATATACAGTATCTTTCTTCTAGTTCTCTTCGTCCTCATCTGTCTCCTTCTAGTTCTCTTCCTTCTTCCTCCTTATTTATCTCCTTCTCTTTCTTCATCCTCCTTATCTATCTCCTTCTATTTCTTCCTTCCTCATCCTTACCTATCTTCTCCTCCTTCTCCCTCATCTCATTTCAATCAGACTCATTAATTCCAAGGAACTGAATGGTGATTGAGTTAACAGGGATAACTTTCTTCCTGATGTTTAAAGTCTGCTCCTTTATTTTTGCTTTCCTATCGTCCCTTCCTAGCGGAAAGATTCAGGAGTTATTCGCTCCACTTTATTGGAGACTGTTTAAGGAAAAGAGAAAGCATTTGCAACGAGGTGGTTTACCTTTCTGGATCACACACAGGATTATCAGCCACCATAGCTTTCAGCACATCTGCGTTGGCTGCAAAAATTAGAAACCGTATTTAATATTTTTGTTCTGGATTCTTTACTCCGCTGTTGAGCAAAAAGGGGTGAATGAGAAGACCCACAAACGTGAGCTAAACTGAATCATTTACTTATGAGACAGAATTGGTAGAAAATATGTTTTTCAGAGCAACTCTTCACACATCTACTCAGGAGAAAGCTGAGTGGCTCGGGACACCCTGCAAATAGTATTTAATAAATACTATTTTAAGAACAGAAGATTTTAAAGGTGTACTCTCTTTAAAGCAGGTTTTAATAACTGGAAAAATCATGCACTGCTTAAAATCTTCCGGGAATGGATGTGATCCAGTGGTGGAATTCAATTTTTTTTTACTATCGGTTCTATGGGTATGGCTTAGTGGGTGTGGTGTGGCTTGGTGGGCATGGCAGGGGAAGGATACTGCAAAATCTCCATTCCCACCCTACTCCAAGGGAAGGATAAGAGCCTTGGTGGCGCAGCAGACTAAAGTGCAACTGTTAACTAGCACCAGCTGCCTGCAATTACTGCAAGTTCGAATCTCACCAGGCTCAAGGTTGACTCAGCCTTCCATCCTTTCGAGGTAGGTAAAATGAGGACCTGGATTGTGGGGGCAATAAGCTGACTTTGTATAAAAAAGAACACTGCTTAGGGGGGCCCGAAAGCCCTACTAAGCAGGTATATACAAAAGTATGAAGGCTATTGCTTAATGCATTGTAAACCACCCTGAGTTTCCGGAGAAGGGCGGCATATAAATCGAACCAATAAATAAATAAATACTGCAAAATCCCCATTCCCTCCCCACTCCTGGGGGAAGGATATTACATCATCTCCATTCCCACCCACCCCACTCTGGGGCCAGCCAGAGGTGGCATTTGCCGGTTCTCCAAACTTTCATGACCCAACTACGTAACATCATCAGTGCGAGAAGTGGGTGGGATTTGATCTCTACTTACATACAAGTGGCTTGCTCGCAGAAAGCAAACCCAACTCCCTTCTAGCACTGATAATGTTACCAAGTTGGGTCACGAATCGCCTGCAAGAATCCACCAAGCTCAGAGAGCACCAAGAATTCCCCAGTTCAACCCTGAGCTACAAATACTCTCTGCTATTCTATGTTCTACGTTCTTCTATTGAATTCAACCGTTTTAAGATGCCAGGGAGACATCAAATTAAGTGACTTTTTTTTTAGTTTCAGAGGGCTGAGAGAAGAGTCACTGTAGACCAGCCATGCTGTACTTGCACCCAGAAAACGTTGAAATGATTTCCCAGATGTGTGTGCGTGGGTCATGGTTTCCTGTAGATTTCATCTGACGCTTTGGTTCTGACAAATTCTGAATTCTGACCAATATCTTCCAATCTTTCCCTCGCGCATGAGGGATGATGTGTTGGGGAATATGACAAACCTGTTTGCCATTAAGGTTTGTTTCTTCAGAAAGTACTTTTGGTTACAAGCACTTTGCACCCGTACAGAAGCAAATGCTTCAAAATTCATGCATTCCTTCGTCTGTAAAACCCAATAATGAATTATACGTCGCGAACGAAAATGCTGGATGTCATCAGAGCCTTGGTGGCGCAGCAGATTAAAATGCTGTTAAGTAACACCAGCTGCCTGCAATTACTGCAAGTTCAAATCTCACCAGGCTCAAGGTTGACTCAGCCTTCCATCCTTCCGAGGTAGGTAAAATGAGGACCCGGATTGTGGGGGCAATAAGCTGACTTTGTATAAAAAAGAACACCGCTTAGGGGGGGCCGAAAGCCCTACTAAGCAGGTACTGTATATACAAAAGTATGAAGGCTATTGCTTAATGCATTGTAAGCCGCCCTGAGTCTCCAGAGAAGGGCGGCATATAAATCGAACCAATAAATAAATCACTCTACAGTCCTTCCCAAGACACTAAAAGAGCTCAAATAAATTTGTAGAGTTGTTTCTAAAAACTTGGGGAGGCCCCTTACCTTCGTTTTTCATGATATAATCAACTATCTGTCCCACCGTGTCGCTGTTTTCATTGACGCTGTCGTTCAATTCTAAAAGTAAAAACAAACAAAAAACAAACCTCAAAAAGTAACTTTTGTTCCTGGAAAGCAGCGATAAAACTACATTTTCCAAAATAGCATATGAAGCAAAGATTAAAATTGCTATCTCTGAAAAACAGCTTGAAGGGGAGAGAGGGGGGTTGATTGTTATCGAAAATGGGTATGGCTGAAAAAAAAAGCAAAACTAAAAAAATAAAAGGCAAACGAGTCATTTCTTCCTATTTCTCCTATTTGGCAACCGTGATATTAAAAAGATGTGGAGACTCTAGAAAGAGTGCAGAGAAGAGCAACCTGGATGATGAGGGGACTGGAGGCTAAAACATACGATGAACGGTTGCAGGAACTGGGCATGGCTAGTCTAGGGAAGAGGAAGACCAGGGGAGACATGATAGCAGTCTTCCAATATTTGAGGGGGATGCCATCAAGAAGAGAGGCTCAACCTATTCTCCAAAGCCCCTGAAGGCAGGACAAGAAGCAATGGATGGAAACTAATCAAGGAGAGAAGCAACTTAGAACTAAGGAGAAATTTCTGACAATGAGAACAATGAATCAGTCGAACTACTTGCCTCCAGAAATTGTGGATGCTCTAACACTGGAAGTTTTTAAGAAGAGATTGGATAACCATCGGTCTGAAATGGTATAAGGTTTCCTGCTTAAGCATTGGGTTGGACTAGAAGACCTCCAAGGTCCCTTCCAACTCTGTTATTGTCTGTTCTATGTTCTTTGAAAGAATACAGAAACAGCAACAAAGATGATAAGTGTCCGGAAGTTAAACCGTAAGATGAATGACTGAGGGAAACTAGGTATGTCTAGTTTAATGAAGAGGAGGACTAGGGGAGACATGATAGCAGTCTTCCAATATCTCAGGGGATGCCCCAAAGAAGAAGGAGTCAAGCTATTCTCCAAAGCACCTGAGGGCAGGACAAGAAGCAACGGGTGGAAACTCATCAAGGAGAGAAGCAAACTAGAACTAAGGAGGAATTTCCTGACAGTTGGAACAATTAATCCGTGGAACAGCTTGCCTCCAGAAGTTCTGAATGCTCCAACACTGGAAGTTTTTAAGAAGAGGTTGGAGAACCATTTGTATGAAATAGTATAGGGTCTCCCTGCGTGAGTAGGGAGTTTGGATTAGAAGACCTCCAGGGTTGATTCCAACTCTGTAATTCTATATTCTTTGGAAAAAGTGCAGAGAAGAGCATCAAAGATGATTAGGGTGCTGGAGGTTACACCATAAGATGAATGATTGAGGGAAGTAGGTAATGGATGGATGGATGGATGGATGAAAGAAAGAAAGAAAGAAAGAAAGAAAGAAAGAAAGAAAGAGAAGAAAATAGAAAAGAAAGGCAGCTAAGGAAATGAAAGGGAAGGGCAGGCGAAGGCAAGAAAGAAAGAAAGAAAATGAGAAGAAAAGCAGGCAGGCAGGCAGAAGGAGAAGGGAAGGGAAGCCACAGGAAAGGAAGGAGTGAAGAGAAGAGAAGCAGAGAGGAGGTGGAGGAGGGGAGGAGAGGGAAAGGGAAGGCAGGCGAAGGAATAAGGGAATTGAGGAGGAAGGAGGAGAGAGAGAGAAGAGAAGGGAGGAAGAGAGGAAGGGGAAGAGGATGAGAGAGCAGAAAGAAGAAGAAAGGGAGAGGGGAGGAAGAGAGAAGGATAGGATGGAAGGAAGAAGAGGAAGGAGAAAGAAGAGAAGAAAGAGAAGGAGAAAGAAAGAAGAGAGAGAAGAAGGAAAGAAGAAGGAGAGAAGAGGAGAAGAGAAAGGAGGAAGAGGGAGGGAGAGGAAGAGGAGAGGGAGAGCAGGAGAGAGAAAGATGCAAGAAGAAAGAAGAAAGAAAGAGAAGAAAGAAAGGAAGAGGGAGAGGAGAAGTCAGAGAGAGAACGAAGGAGGGAAGAAAGAAGGAAGGCAGAAGAGATAGGAAAGAGAGAGAAGGAGCAGAAGGGAGGAGAAGAAGAGGCAAGAAGAGAGAGCAAAGCAGCTAAGAGAAAGAGCAGAAGAAGCAAGAAGAGAAGAAAGGAAGAATAAGAAAGAAGAAAGAGAGAGGAGAAGAGAAGAGAGAATGAAGGAAATAAAGAGGAAACAAATGGAATCTCAAAGAAACTAGGCAAGAAAGAAAAAGAGGGAGAAGGTAGGTGAAAGAAAGAGGAGGGAGGGAAAGAAGCAGGCACAGAAGGAAAGAAAGAAAGGGAGGGAGAAGAGAGAAGAGAGAGAGAGAGAGAGAGACTAGAGAGAAGAGTAAGAAAGAAAGAAAGAAAGAAAGAAAGAAAGAAAGAAAGAAAGAAAGAAAGAAAGAAAGAAAGAACTAAGAGTGACATGAAAACAATGTGTTCCAATATCTCAGGGGCTGCCACAAAGAAGAGGGGGTCAATCCATTCTCCAAAGCACCAGAAGGCAGGACAAGAAGCAAAGGATGGAAACTAATCAAGGAGAGAAGCAACCTAGAACTCAGGAAAACCCAAAACCGTTCCTCTATTCCTGTATGAATACAAAAACAACTTTTTTTTTTTTAAATGGCTCTTCCTTACCTATCTTTTCCCCCAGCTGTTCGTCTTCTTCCTCTGCTTCGGTCGTACACCGATAGCCCTTTTTCTTAAGCACGTGGCAAATTAAAATCCCTAACAGCCCCATGAGGAAGAATACCGGAATCAGGAAATAGGCGATGTATTCAAGGTGTCCTCCTCCATCTTTGGGAGAGCCGTTTTCGGATTTATTGGTCGCGCTTCCAAAACTGGGGCTTGCCAAGGCTTCAGGGGCTCCTAGGGAAACGGAAGGCGAAAGAGGCCACCGCGTCAGTCAAATCTACCCTTGGATAATGCAACAGGTCAAACATCTAAAGAACTGTTGTGGCTCCGTTACCTGAGCCTGTGTCATCGGCAGGAGAGGACTCCGAGAGTGAAGGAGAGGAGTTGGCAAGGCCTCCCTCTCCAGGACCCTCCTCTCTGGCAATGCCTTCGGTGTCCGCCGAAGGGCAAGAGATAGGGCTGGGGCCAAGCACGTCCACATAGCCACAGATGGACAGTAATGAGGGAGATGAGTCTTGGCTGGATCCTCGGCAGTGTCGCAGAGATAAGCACGTGCAACAGAAGAAGAGGCGTGCCAGAGATTAAGCTGAGTCACTGGACCACACCCCACAGGGTATAAAAGGGGGTGAGGTGGCCATTCAGACTCTGTGACGGACAAAACTAACTATTATCGAGTCACATTGCATCTTTGGAAACAGCATTATCTGCCTTGGATTTAATTACGGACTGGACAATTCTTGAACTGTGTGTATCTTGTTTATGAGTAAAGTTCTTGGCAAGCAGCTACTGGGTTGCTGCCAAGCCTCTTATCAGAACAATTGGTTGTCTGCCAGTTTATTTAACCCGTCTGTCTGTTTGTGTGCGTGTGTGAGATGGGAACAGAACAAGAACTTTCCTTTCTGATAAAAGAACTACGAGCAAGCAAGGTGGGCTCATCCTACCTCTCAGAGGCAGGCGGCTTGGTGTTTGTGGTGAGATTCAGCCGGTTCGGGCGAAACGGTTGTTAAAATTGCTGACTGGCCCCACCCCTCCCCAGAGTCCCACATGCCCCATTTTTTTTTTTTATTTGATTTATATGCTGCCCTTCTCCGAAGACTCAGGGCGGCTTACAATGTGCTCAGCAATATTTTGGCTCCCAGATAAGTGCAGGGAGGCCTACTAGGCCCAAAACGGGGTGTGAGAGGGTGCGGTGTGCCCGTCCCCCCCCCCCGGGCCCATTTTGGCTCCCAGGAAGCTGCAGGAGGCTGAGTGCTGCCTATCACACCCCATGGCCACACCCACTATGGCCACGCCCACCGAGCTCGTCATTAGGGCAGAGAACCGTTTGTTAAATTAATTGAATCCCACCACTGTGTGTGTCTTTGTGTATGTGTGTTTGTGTGTGTGTATAATTTATATTTTGCTGATAAAGAAATATCAGCAAAATATAAATTTGGTATAAAAATGGTTTGTCCTGAATGCTTGAGGGCTCCTGGATTGGAGCTGAAAGGCGAAAGGGATGCAGTACGCTCCCTCCCACATACTGGGTTAGACCAGGTGTCTCGATAGAAAAACACTTAATCTCTCCCCTGGCTCAAGCTGATGAAGGGAGGAGAACTTGTGGCTCGGAGGTTAATACAACTGCCTAACATGCAGGCAGCCCAAGTTCGAATCCAAGTAAGGGTATGGCTAGCTGATGAGAGCTAAATAGCTTGAAATAGATCTATACTAGTCTCCCTTTATTTCTTTATCAGTGAAATATAAATTTGGTATAAAATGGTTTGTCGTGAATGCGATTGCTTGAGGGATCCTAGGTTGGAGCTGAAAGGCGAAAGGGATGCAGTATGCTCCCTCCCACATGCTGGGGTAGACCAGGTGCCTCGATATATATAAACTGTTTTTCTATCGAGCGAAATATAAATTTGATTATATATATATACACATACATACACACACACACACACACACATATATATATATTCCTCCGTGTAACGGTCAAATATTTATTTTATTCACACACACGTGTGTGTGTGTGTGTGTGAATAAAATAAATATTTGACCGTTACACGGAGGAATGAGATGAAGGTGTGGCTAACTGAAGAAGACAAACTAGTCAGAAATAGATCTATCTTAGTCTCCCTTAAGTCTCACAACAGACAGCAAAATGCTGCTTTGATGTCTGATAAAGCCTAGAAACTAGTGAATGAGATTCCACTGAACTATGGCTGCAGAAACATCTTGATTTACGTAGGAAAAACCTGGCTGAAAGAAAAATACACATAAAGACCTACAAAACGAGAATAAAATATATATAAAATATATATATATACACACACATTAATATACAAATATACACACACACATATTAATTTCATTTTGCAGACAAGGTTCTTATTATGTGTTTAGATACTTTCATTGTAAAGATCCTTTGGCGGCCAATACAGCTAGTCCTTGACATACAGCTGCAATGGAGCTCCGAATTCCTGTTGTTAAGTGAGCTTCGCCCCAATTTTACGACCTTTCTCGCCACCATTAAGGGAATCGCGGCAGCTGTTTGGTCGTTAAGTGAATCTAGCTTCCCTGTGAACTTGGCTCATCGGAAGGCCGCCAAAGGGGAACATGGGACACCCCCCCTCCCCCGAGACAATGCAACCGTCATGAATATGAATCCGTTGCCAAGCGGATTCTGAATTTCGATCATGTGACCCTGGGGACGCCGCAATGGTCATTAAGTGTGAAAAACGGTCGTAAGTCACTTCTTTCAGTGCTGCTGTAACTTCAAATGGTCACTAAACGAACTGTTGTAAGACGAGGAGTGCTGGTGCAACAATCTCTATAGATTTAAAGTCTGTTCTATAGTCCATTTCTATGTCAGTAAATCAGACTGCATTTTTGCTGTTACACGGTATTTGGGGGGTATCATTTTAAACCTTTTAACTGAGTAGAAAGAATATCTTTGATTTACCAAGGATCTGACCTTAAAAAAGATTTTTTTCCTCCTCTCTATACACTAATAAATAAGATGAAAATATAGATACTTTATTAGCTACTGACCAGTAGGGGGCACTACACAATCAGGAGATTTTAGGCCTATTTTCCACAGAGGTTCCACCACTGTATCAAATGGTGTTTGCTATTGCTTTTACAAACAAAAAACAAACAAAAAAAGTTTTAAAAAGTATCTTTACTAACAACAAACTGAAAATCCAATAAAAAAATAAACCAGCAAGAGGAAAGAACTAAATTAGGGACGTTACAGACACCAGTAAATTGTTCTTTTGCACTTTATTTCCTCCCAAATGATTCCTTTAGGTAATTAAACATGATGTCAGATCACTTCCACAACAGGAGAGGAGAGGGAAGAGAGAAGGGGAGGGGAGGGAAGAGGGAGAGAGAAGGGAAGGAGAGAAGGGGGAGGGAAGAGAAGGAAAGGAATGGAATGGAAAAATAGGAAAGGAAATATAGGAAGTGAAGGGAAGGAAGAAAAGAGGAAGGGAAGAGAAGGGGAAGGGAAGGGAAGGGAAGGGAAGGGAAGGGAAGGGAAGGAAAGGAAAGGAAAGGAAAGGAAAGGAAAGGAAAGGAAAGGAAAGGAAAAAGGAAAGGAAAGGAAAGGAAAGGAAAGGAAGGGAAGGAAGAAAAGAGGAAGGGAAGGGAAGGGAAGGGAAGGGAAGGGAAGGAAAGGAAAGGAAAGGAAAGGAAGGAAAGGAAAGGAAGAAACGAGGAAGGGAAGGGAAGGGAAGGAAGAAAAGAGGAAGGGAAGGAAAGGAAAGGAAGAAAAAAGGGAAGGGAAGGGAAAGGAAAGGAAGGGAAAATAGGAAAGGAAAGGAAAGGAAAAATAGGATAGGATAGGATAGGAAAGGAAAGGAAAGGAAAGGAAGGGAAAATAGGAAAGAAAAGGAAAGGAAGGGAAGGGAAAATAGGAAAAGAAAGGAAAGGAATGGAAAGGAAAAATAGGATAGGATAGGATAGGATAGGATAGGATAGGATAGGATAGGATAGGATAGGAAAGGAAAGGAAAGGAAAGGAAAGGAAAATATTTCAAACCAAGTTCTCCTCCGGAAGACGTCTGACTAACTTGCAAAGCCAAAAATAACCCAAAAACTATTTTGTTGGGAGTCTTTCCAATCATGTCCAATAAGCTGTGATTTTGGACTTCCCAGAGATGAGATCAATTTTCAACCTGCATCAGAACAGTAAAATGCATTATTTTTCGCCTTCCTGTTTCTGCTGAATTTGCTATTCAAGAACTGGACAAATCCAGGAAATGGATTTCCTCTTGAAATCCACAGGACTCTCTTGTATGGTACAATAGAAACCTAAGCTGACCGTTGGCTGTTTCTTTTGGAGAATCAGCCAAAGAATTTTCTTTTTCCTTGTCATTACGATAAAGGATAACCATTTTTTAAAAAATCAAAGAGTTACCTCCTTTACAGTATTGATCAATGCAATTCGCTGCTCAGCTTGAAAATCAAAATGCAACCTCATCCTTTCTTCGGATTGGATCTGAAGTTACATACAGGCAGTCCTCGACTTATGACCGACATTGAACCCAACTTTTCTGTTGGTGAGCGAAACGTTGGTTAAGTGGATTTTGCCCCCATTTTGCCACCGTTGTTAAGTGAATCACTGCAGTGATTAAATTAGCAACACGGTTGTTAAGTGAATCTGGCTATCCCCGTTGACTTTGCTCGTCAGGAGGTCGCAAAAGGGGATCAGGTGTAACCATCATAAATAGGAGTCTGTTGCCAAGCATCTGAATTTTTTTTTTTTTTAAAGAACAGCCAACTTTATTTTCTCTTGGGCTTGCTCCATTATTGTATGTTCAATTTAAAATATTTTTTATTATAGTTCCAAAAAAAAAGAAACAAAGACAAATGTATAATAGTTTTTCTATCACATTTCCACAGTGCTGGAAATGTGGGCATAGCAATGGAACTTACTTCCACCAATGGTGGACATGTCCACTGGCAGCTAAATATTGGATGAAAATACGACGATGGTTGCTTGAAATTACACATTGTTGAAGACTACCTGTACTGAGTCTACATTTGCTGTACCAGTCACTAAATCATAAATTTCCCTCTGTTTTCATAGCTTTCAGGGAAAACTGTGGTTATTTCTCATCTTGTTTTATCTTTTAAGGATCTTTTTATTCTTTTCTAGCTCCTTCACCCCTTAGAAACCTGCTGTAGCCATTCGTTTCTACCTCACCCCTAAATGCTACCGAAATTTTTCATTTTTCTCTACTCCGAGGT